AGACATGGCCTGCATCCCATGACATATGCAAATCCCTGTGGCTGACTCAGACCTCAGTTTCTCTGCTTCTGCTTGCATGCCACCTTGGTTTCTGCCAATGTCAATACATATGTGAAACCAGCCCCTTTACTAGTTTCAAACATTTAACATTTTGTGAGTTAAGAAATCCTGAATAGTAGGTGATAGACCAGCAAATTATTTTCTTAATTTTTGAGTAGAACATGCTATCTACGTTCATTCTTTTCTTCTACTCATACTTCCCTGAATTAATACAACTGTTTTCTTAAGAGGAATACTGAAAAAATCAGCTTGTTTTCATTTTGTAAAACATAGATTACTGGAGGACTATGAGGAATACAAAATTTGTCCCATCTGTTAACATACATAATAACTAAATGTGTGACAAAATATTCTTTCCTAAGAGAGGGGCACTTAAAGGATATTTGTTCAGTGGTGTTGGATAGTACTATTCAGTGATACACCTCAAAACTAATTAGACAAAAATCATCCATAGGAATTAGAAAAGGTAGCAGAGAGAATACCTTTACATCTCGTATTTGAAGAATTAGTAGAACTCACCCAGAAGATACTTGAATATTAAAAATTTGTGTTGGACCAAAATATTATGATTAAAAGGATAATAGAAAATTGTGGAAACTACATTAAAAATTATAGGGAAAGTGATAATGGCTCTAAGTTATATATTGTTGTAAATATGCAAGTTTAGATATCAAGATTCTGAAACATAAATGAGAAATGAATGTGACAGATTAAGAATATGAAAATAAAGACATATGAATAATAAATAAATACGGGGTTTTTTTCATTGTATTAAAGGACATCAATTTTTAAAAAGAGAAATCTAATATTTGCAAGTAAGCAGTGCTAACAGACCCTTTTGGGAAATAATGCAGGAATACATGCTGAGAGTCACAATAATGTTTAGAAATATCATAATAACATATTAGGAAATACTATGCTAATTATCAGTCTCTCTCATATATATATATAGAAAATTCCCAGCTTAAAGACTAATTATAGCACAGCAACATAAAATATTACATTTAAATGATTATTTTTGGAGACTATAGAACAGCACTGTTCAGGAGAGCTTTGTGGTGATAGAAATATTCTATGATTGCACTGTCCAATATGGTAGCCATTTGCCACATGTGGCTACTGAGCCCTTAAAATGTGGCTAAGGCAACTGAGAAACTGAATTTTTAATTTAATGTTAATTATTTAAATTTAAATAGGTAAATGGGACTAGTGGCCACAAGTTTAGATAGTGTAGTTCCAGAAATAAGGAGAAATGTTTGATATAAGTGAAAATAAAATAGTAAATTTATATGCCATGATTACAAGTATGTACATAACTAGATGTACATATGGAAAGTGATAGTCACAATTAAAATATTTCTGTTAGAATTGAAGGAAATAAGTGATTTTTTTTTAAATGCTAAATTTTTAAAAGGTTACATGACAATAATGTAACACTTTAGCACTGCACTGGTACTGTTCAGTATGGTAGCCACCAGCCTGATGTGCAATTTAAATTTATATCTGTTTAGGTAAAAATATAAATTCAGTACTTTAGTCACACTAGCCACATTCCAAATGGGCAGTAGTCATATATGGCTAATGTTTACCTTTTCGAACAATGAAGCTATAGAACAATTTTACCATTGCCAAAAATTCTATTGTACAGTATTGTAGAAAGAACTGGTAAAAGGAATATACTGGAATAAGTCACTGATAGTTTATTAGTGAGTAGTTTCTAACGGCACATGAGAATTAAAACTGGAAATTGGATTCAATAAAAAGTATAAAGGAAGAGTATCATAAGATCCTACTCCTGTAACCTAGATTAGTGCCTTTTTTTTTTTTTTTTTTTTTTTAAGAGTTTCACTCTATCACCCAGGCTGGAGTGCAGTAGCGTCATTTCAGCTCACTGCAGCCTCACCACCTCCTGTATTCAAGTGATTGTCCTGCCTCAGCTACCCAGGTAGCTGGAATTACAGGCATGTTCCACCACTCCTGACCAATTTTTGTACTTTTAGTAGAGACGGGGTTTCTCCATGTTTCCCAGGCTGGTCTGGAATTCCTGAGTTCAAGTGATTCACTTGCCTTGGCCTCCCAAAGTGCTGGGATTACAGGCTTGAGCCACTGAGCCTGGCCTACACCAGTGCTCCTTGAAGAATGGGCTATGAACTGGTGCTGGTTTATTAATCAATCCATGACTAAATGCTTACTCTCAATTTCTGTATTGGTTTAGAAACTCTTATAGTCATGTCATATTTCTGTCATTCAGACACATCACCTGTCTCCCTGGTTGAAGTGCAGGCCAGTAGTTTTAACTCAGTTGCCTGGAGAGTTTTATGTTGAGTGAGCTGAGTATAGTCATGATGGTAGTCCATGAACATGGGTCCCCAGTGGGAAGAAAACAGTCCTTCACTACAGATTGCATGAGAAACACTGGCCAGCATTAAAGAAGGAAAGTAGATTGCTCAGGGAAGTTTTGTAGGGAACTTAAAGTGAGATGTTAGTATGGCTTAGTAGTCTGTATTTGCAGGTGAAATGAAAAATTCAGCATGAAATCTCTGAATGTGGTAAACTTAGACTTCATCCTCTGAGGTGGAAATGAGGCAAGGGATCCGTTATCCACAGCATGAGTAAGTTTCTAGTCAGTTCCTCTGTCTTGGGAGTTTGTTTTCCCTTTTCGCCCTTGTTGGCCTGGGAGATTCAACCAGCTAGCAGTCTTTTCCTTTCAGTAGGATTTCCAACTTTGTGTTGGCCTTTACCCCGTTTTAGCTCTTTTTGTCATATTATCTGCACTTAGTACTTGGTAACCGTTTTCACCCCTTCCCCCAGAGTTAGTTCAGAGGTTTACAGGATGTTGAAAATAGGAAAATTGTTTTTAAATTAAGTGAGTTTTTGTGTACACTTATTTCTTTAGCCTAAAGTTTTGTTTTAAGTCTCTTTTTTTCACATTTAAACCTGATTCCCCAAGACAAGATATAAAATTGAATTATGTGTGAAATGTGGAAAGGTTTTTACTGCCTGTAATCAAACCATAATCTGTCCATTAAAGCATTATTTTAGTGATGAAGGGTGGACATACATCCCAAGTTTACTACCTGTTTTCTTACTGTGGTTTTGACCATACAGCAAATGATATCTTCTACTCTGAAATGAAATGCACCATACACATTGTCCAGTATGTTTTGAGTTTTAATTCTACATTTTCAGATTTTGGGGTCAAATGGAATCAAGTACTTTATAAATAGCTATTTCTTCTGATTCTTTTGGCCTTACATATTAGATTTTTTAAAGTATATACATTCAGTCCTTCATCAGTACCATTAATCTGATGTTGATTTTAGCATTTCTTCTTTTTTTTTTTTTTTTTTTTGAGATGGAGTCATGCTCTGTCACCCAGGCTGGAATGCAGTGGCACAATCTCGGCTCACTGCAACCTCCGCCTCCCGGGTTCAAGCAATTCTCCTGCCTTAGCCTCCCAAGTGGCTGGGATTACAGGTGCTTGCCACCACACCCAGCTAATTTTTGTATGTTTAGTAGAGATGGGGTTCACCATGTTGCCCAGGCTGGTCTTGAACTCCTGACCTTGTAATCCACCTGCCTCGGCCTCTCAAAGTGCTGGAATTACAGGCGTGAGCCACCACACCCTACCAGTGTTTCTTCTTTTTCTCCCTAATTTATCAGATTTGGAAACAGTTGGAAAACATTTAAAGGAAATAAGTCTCTGTGTTTTTAATAATAGTTTAAGTTAAAGGAAAACAAATGAATAAGATTGTTTATTGCAGTCAGACAAAATGTACATATTAAAATACGTAAGAAAATCATACTTATAGAATAGCATCCTCTGATTTCAATTTAATATTATGGTAATGATTTACTTAGGCAGAATTATATCTATAGACAACCATTTTATCACTTGATTTATATTGCTCTACACTCTGGACAAAAACTGTTAATACTAAAGCATTAAGAAGGTGTATTACTTTTCATCTGTATTAATATTCTTCTTCTGATATTTGGTATTTAATAATATATTTTACAGTACTCTGCATGATTTCCTGATCTTAAAGCATTCCATTCCTTTCAAGGAGTTTGGATCATAATAATTTATTTATAGTATTTTCTCGTTCATATTTTAGGATATGGCATTTTAAAATATTGTATTCTTAACAGTTATTTAATATATAATTAAACATTTATATTAGTATTATTTTGTATAACATATTTTCAAGCTCCTCAGAACATTTGTAGGCTTTTGTTTCATTTTATGTAAGTTTCACCTTCAGAATATTGACTGATTGGTTAATATTCTTCTTAATAATCAAAATTTTTTTAAATGCTTACTATGTACCAGGACCTATTTAAGGTACTACAGATAGTGTGTCAAAAAACAAAGCCAGACTTCCTTTCCTCATGGAGTTTTATATTCTAGTAGATTGATTCTACTGTTGATTCATACTAAATTAATGTATTGATTATAGTAGAGTAATTTATTGATTCTGTGGCATTTAACACAATTCAAAGGGCTACTTTTCTGTTAGTTGTTAGGAAATAGCATATGCCATTATATTGGAAATACAAAGGGAGGACAGAATTTCCGCTGGCTCTAACTCATTGCTTTTTAATGAGTTTAGCTGTATATATTTTTTTTAAACGGAATTTATAACTATGATCATTTGGCAGCCTACAGTTTTTCTGTATTTTTTTTCAACTTCTCAACTTCCCAGTGATGGGGGTAGACATTGAACTAGTCACTTAAGGTTTTGGGTCTAAGGAGTAATATTTGAAACATGCAGTATTTAGAGGAGATATTTTTGTGAATGAAGAGAATGTGATTTTAAGCATAGTGATGATTTCATCTAATTTCTGTTCTCAAAATTTCATTTTGTAATATGGAAAGATAAGCTTGATCCTAATAGTATGATCTCAGTATAATCTTTTACTCTTCTCTCCTCCCTCAGGACAACCTTAAACTTCCACCACAAGAGGAATATAAAGAGGTCCCTCCTGCACCAAGAAAGATCTGCAGATCTTTTTCAGTGTTCTTGGAGGTGTGGGGTGTGAGAACTTGATCAGTTTGTGTCAGCCACCTTGTTCTCTAAAGGTAAGCACTGTGTAGTGAGTGCGCACTCGTGGGCCCAGGCTCCTAACCTAAGACTGGTTTTGGAATGCTCCATCGAGGGTGTGAGACCTTCAGATGTTCTCACAGAAGGGAGACCCAGACAGCTACCTGTGAATAGGACATCACACATTCATCAAGAGGTGCTTTTCGTTATTTAGAAGTGAAGCATGCCCTGTGGAGGTATGGATATTTTTGTTTTGTTTTACTTAAAAAAAAAAAATCCCAGTCATAATAAAACCTGTTTCTAGTTTAGTCTGCCTTTATATTCAGTTAATAACTGCTGGGGTTAATCAAGAATTTTTTTGTATGTCTTGAGATATGGATTAAGAATTTTGAAACAATGACACCATTTAGGCCCTCTAGTGACATAATAGTTTCAGTTGATAGAACCAGCTTTGAAGAATTACTTTTCATGATCTTTTTGAAGCTGTATCTTATCTTTACTTCAGGGAAAGCCCCTCAAACCATTTTGTATTCTGTATTACACTTCAGAAAGTGTGGAAGCAAAGGCCGTCTAATCTTTAAAAGGTATGTAATCATAAAATTTTTTATGTCAGATCTTAATTGAAAAAGATTACTTAAAACTTGAAAAAATTACTTAAAATTGGCAATTTCTTTTTCATCTTACAACTTCTTCCTGTCTTCAGGAAATGAAGAATAAATATGTTGGTTCTATCAGGGAAACCTTATGAAGGATAAACAAATTAATGTCTGTGCTTTACTTCCAAATTCTAACATCAGAAAACCTTATTGTTCACTTATATAATCTATAGATGTCCCTCAAAATGACCAGTCTTAAATTAAAATGTCATTTGGATATCATTAATTGACTATGGGGAAGAACAAAAGCATGCTGATTTCAAAAATGTCATTAATATTAGCATTAGGTCAGTCTTAGACAAGAATACTTTGAATAACAAGAGACTAAATGTCTAGTAAAACATTTTAGATTATAATTCCCAGTATTCTGTAGTATTAACAATGAAGACTTAAAGTACTGATGAAGAAATTAAATATGTCCATTTCATTTCATTCATCTTTTCTTAAAGCTCTTAAAGTGATCCTGAAGACTTTAGTTCTACAAAATGTGAACAACTTATGGACCATTAAATTGGGGAGTAATCTGCTGATTTTTGTCTACCAACTCTGCCTCTGATGCAGGATAATTTTTTTGTCTTTTCAAAACCGTTGTTCTTCCTATATCTGTATAATAAAAGATATTAAAGAGAAGAAATACTTGTGTGTTTGCTGTTAGAATGAGGAAAAAATGCAAACTGGACCTTTTTGAAAAACCTTGAGAACCAATTTACTTTTTTTGTATGTAAATGATTGAGGAGTTAGAACTAGTCTTGGTTATTATAACTGCAGGTAAACTTAAAAGATTTAAATCTTCAAAACAGATTATCATGTAGGTTTTATTAGAAAAGAAATATAGATTATTGGGTGTATAGAGATAACCTATATATATGTACAGTTTTTTTGATTTTTTATTTGCAAGAGCATGCTAAATATCTTAGCCTTCATAACAGCATAGAATGGACAAATGTGTTATCTCTTTTAGCCAGTTGAGAAAACACTTTGAATTAAATCTCCAACCTAATGAAAATTGTAAGGTGGGTTATAGAAATAACTAAACAGGTTATTATTTCTTAACCAAACTAAAGATTTATTCTAACTAAAATACTTGTAATCTCCCCAAACATACTTCTTTGTAGGATGTATAAATAAAATGGGGACCTATGAGATCTGTGAGATTTTGCCCTCTGTAACTACAGTATCAAAAATAAGATCGTTTCCTAATAATTCTTATTAATAACTTATCCATCTCAATTCATAGTAGGTGACAAAATCAACTATTGTTCTATGATTTTGATCATGTGTAGGAGGGAAAACCCAAAATAATGGTACTGAGGGCTTCTTCCATTGAAACTAATATCTGGGAGAAGATTTGATTTTCATGTGTACATATACACATACCCATATTAGAGTTTATTTCTCTTTTTAATCATGTAAGAATGATTTGTCAGAGATCAGGTTTCTGATTTGTCTTTCGTGGGTATCAGTATGCCACATTTTGTTTTTGTTTTTGAAGTGTTCCTAGCCACTTCATGCTAGTCCCTACTAGAAATTTTGTTCCCCTGGCATGATCATGCTCTTTACCTACTCTGATAGCTGGAGGGAGGTGAGAGAAGCAGTCTTACGTGTTTACCAATACTGATTTTTTTTAGAAATGGGACAACAAAGAAATTCTAGCCTTTGGAGGCATCTGGACCAGCACTATATGGTACAAAGATAATTTGAGCCATAAATAGAAGCCGCATATGTAATTTTAAGTTCTTAATGGCCATTTAAGAAAATAGAGGCAAAATTAGTTTTCATTACATTTTATTTCACCCCATAGACACAAAAATATTATTTCAACATATAATTAATAGAATGTTTTATAAGATTTTTTTCATACTCAGCATTCAAAGTCTGTGTATTTTATACTCATAGCACATCTTATGTTGGACTAGCCACAGTTCAAGTGCTCAATAGCCACACGTGGCTAGTAGTTACCATATTCCACAGTTCAGATCTAGACAATGAGTGGAATTCTCATTTTAGCCTCATACATGCTAAAATCCACTGGATGACCCTGCGAACTCCCCTTGTTTAGAGTTTCCAAATTTAGCAGAAGGAAAAAAACAAAACAAAACAGGATGTCCAGTGTAATTTGAATTTCAAGTAAATAACAAATAATGGCTTAGTGTAATTATGTCCCATGCTATATTTGGGGCAAACTTTTACCAAAAAAGTTACTGCTTATTCGAAATTCAAATTTGACTGGGTGTCCTGTATTTTATCTGACAACCTTCTCTGGTTTAACTTGAGAAGAAGACATCATCAGGCTGCCTGATCTTGGAGGACTAGAAAATAGAGCATGACTTCCTCTGCACAGGATTTTAATAACCCTCCAAAAATCAGCCTGTAAAGTAGAAAATATCTGTAGCCCATTTCTTCCTAATGATCTAGTACGTTTAAGACAGAAGAGGGGTCAAATGACAAGGATTTAGTCCATACATATTTAAACATTTTAAATCTAAATTATTACATTAACGTGTAAGGTTTATGAAATTTTATAATTTGAATGATTACTCGAATTTATAAAATGTAGATCATCTAACAGCACATTGCTGCTATCATTTCTCTTGAAAGCTAATTCTCCCTTGGCAGTAACCATAGCAGTTTTCAGGGTTTTGGCCATTTCAAGATATTTTCCTACCATTGGTTTCCATTGTATCTGTCACATAAATCTCTGGTAGTCAAGCATTAACACAAAATACAAGGCTACTGAATGCCAGGATTAGGCCTACTTTGTTACAAGTATTTAAGTACTTGTAATTCTTTGCTCTGGTGTTGACCATTGGATCCTGACCAGTTCAACAGTTGGTCTCCTAAGAGCTTCTTTTACAGAGGAACATCTTTCCATTTTCATTCTTTAACATTTTTAATGTATTAATTTTGGTACTATTTTTGAAGCATACAATCACCTCCTTAGTAGTGTGGATCTGCCCTCCTTAAGCGCTACAGAAGAGACTATTTGTCTCGAAAGATAGTCATTGCACCACCTCCCTCTCCCTCCAGAGAATACTTTTCCTTCACAAAGTGCATGACTCTAGGTGACGGGTTTACATTATTATTTATGTAGGCAGGTGGATGCCAACTGCCAATGCAGAGTGGCATAATTTAGCAGTTCCAAAGTTAAGCTATGGCGCATTCCAAATCCATTCACGCTTAGGAGAATGTACCCAAGAGTGTGGGGATGTTTTCAATTACTGCATTTCCTTCAGAGAACAAGAACTACAGGTAAGTTTTTGTGTGTGTATGTGTGATCCAATAATTATTTTTAAATAAGAAATGTCAGAATCTGAAAATATTGCCCCTCCCCCAAAACAGTCACCTGAAAGGTCTCAAATATAGCTTTCAGTATATATTATTTCCTCACTCCAAGAGGGAAGGAATTGGAGCTGGTGGTGATGGTGGAGTTGGGATGAGGAAGACAATTTACTGTCATTTGAAAGCTGTGAATGTCACACATTTTCATGTCTAGAAATATCCTGGGTTTATGTAAGAATCTGATATTGCCTAACCTCTAATGTCTCAGGTATGAATTATTTTGTCAGATTAACATATCTATATATAAGTAAGGTGTTCAGCCTTTCTTAGCTAATGTCTTCAACAGCAATGAGTAAACTAATGAGTTGTGTCTGCGTTTTCACTTTTATTCTCAAGACTGACTTCCTTTTGTTTAAAGGCTTTTGCCTTATTTTTGAAACCATAATTTAAAGCTACAAAAGACCTGAAATATAATCTAGTACCCTTTTTACCTGGGGATCCTTGGATGGATTTCAGAGATTCTGCGAATCCCCTAAAATTACAGTCATATTTTGTATACATGTGTTTTTACTGGGGAGAATGTCCATAATTTTTACCATATTCTCAGAGGATTTCATAACAAAAAAATTGGTCAACAACCACTGTGATCTAGTCTAATGTGTTCATTTTACTGATAAACTGAAGTTTAAAGAATTTAAGTAACTTATCTTCATTCATTTGAAAAGTAATACTTGTGAAAAGTTTATTTCTTTAAAATTCATACTGATTTTTAAAAGAAATATACATTTACCTTCAATTAATTAAACTTGAAAATACCAGCCTAAATGGGAGCGTCAGTTTGCTAATGGTTTCTTCTGTTCTGCCCTTTGAGTGAACTCTACTAGTTAACATTAAAATGGCCTTCCAATAAAGTACGAGACTATGTGATAAGTTCTTGAAGATAGATTAAAAAGAAAACGAATTATCCATTATAATTTAAATCCCTTTTTCTCTTTTCAAATTCTGTCTCCAAAACTAAAACTCAAGAAAATAGGTGAATAATGTTATTTTTGTATTTCTAGAATATTAAAAAAGTAGGTAATTGCCTTAATAAACATTACACT